CATGTATCTTTATGGATCTCTATGTATGTTTCGATATCTTAGAGTCTATATGGGTCTCTCTGTGAGACTGACTGAGATGACTGGCAGATGCACCACCTGTGCCAACTTGCTGTGTTTTATTCGCCCGGCGCTCCGCTCGTTGTTGTGAGCGAGCTCCTCTGCCCTCCGCTGTTGTTGCTGGAGGGCGACTGCCCCCAACTGCCCAGTTAGCAGCAGCAGCGTCCTTCACGAGCCTCCACTGCTGGTGACACCGCTGGTGACACTGATCATCGCCAAGTCCACTCAGCTCCATATCAGCGTAACAACAACCGTCATTCGCGCTTTGTGCCAGGCTAGGTGCACTTTAAGGCCACGTGAAGCGTCCAACGCCCGCACGCGGGAGGTCACGGGACAGACGCAGGTGCCATGGGTTGACTGACTGAGATGACTGGCCGATGCACCATCTGTGCCAACTTGCTGTGGTTTAGCCGCCCGGCGCTACGCTCGTTGTTGTGAGCGTCGCTCCTCTGCCCTCCGCTGTTGTTGCTGGAGGGCGACTGCCTCCAACTGCCCAGCAGCAGCAGCGTCCTTCACGAGCCTCCTTCTCCTCCACAGGGGCCGATCTTGACACCGCTGGTGACACCGCTCATGGACAAGTCCACTCAGCTCCACATCAACGCACACGCAGCCGCAGCCACGAGGGGGCGCTACAGCCTCAAATATCTCCTCTGCCACGTGACAAAGACAAAGGCGCCGCGTGTAGCATCAACAGACAGCTGGGGCAAGTGCTGTCAGCACACGACTCCAATTTGATCCTCGCTGGAAATGTCAGCAGCAATGTCCCGAAGCAGAAGATTAGTGCTGGATACAAGCAGTCACATTTGTAAATGTGATTTGTAAACTTTTGATCATTGCCCCGCTTTGCAGTATCGATAGTTCGATGTTGATGTGGCCATTCTATTGAACGACACCTGGTGCTGTGTGGTGTTTGTTGTCTTGGTGTGGTCTGGGACTCTTTTGTGGTTGTTTGTGTTGACTTGCCCAGTCTTGATACATCGGATTTGTGTAGTAAATACATTCAAATTTAGATTTAGATTCAGTGGCTTGCTTGATTGTTTTCTGTATTTTTCACTCCTATTGTATTTTGTATTGTTTGTTGTTGTAACGTTCTGACCCCTTACCCCGACTGGACATTTGTGAAAAAGAGCTTTACAGCTCATCGGATTTCTCCTTCGGTCTATAATAAAGATTCTGATTGTGACTTGAATGCCAATGTTGACATCTGTGAGTGGGTGAGTGAGTTGGTGAGTGGGTGGGTGGGTGGGCTAGTGAGTTGGTGAGTGGGTGGGTGGTTGAGTGGATGGGTAGTTGAGTGGATGGGTGAGTGATTGGGTGGTTAGTTGAGTTGGTGAGTGGGTGAGTGAGTGGGTGAGTGGGTGGGTGAGTTGGTGAGTGGGTGGGTGGTTGAGTGGATGGATGAGTGGGTGGGTAATTGAGTGGATGGGTGGGTGATTGGGTGGTTAGTTGAGTTGGTGAGTGGGTAGGTAGTTGAGTGGGTGATTGGGTGGGTAGTTGAGTGGATGGGTGGGTGGGTGAATGAATGAGTGGGTAGTTGAGTGGATGGGTGAGTGGATGAGTGGGTCGGTAGTTGAGTGGATGGGTGGGTGATTGGGTGGTTAGTTGAGTTGGTGAGTGGGTAGGTAGTTGAGTGGGTGATTGGGTGGGTAGTTGAGTGGATGGGTGAGTGGGTGAATGAATGGGTGGATAGTTGAGTGGATGGGTGGGTGATTGGGTGGTTAGTTGAGTTGGTGAGTGGGTAGTTGAGTGGGTGATTGCGTGGGTGGGTAGTTGAGTGGATGGGTGAGTGGGTGAATGAATGGGTGGGTAGTTGAGTGGATGGGTGAGTGGGTGAGTGGGTGAGTTGGTGGGTAGTTGAGTGGATGGGTGAGTGGGTGAGTTGGTGGGTAGTTGAGTGGATGGGTGGGTGGTTTTTGTGGGAGAATCGATGGGTAGTTGAGTGGGTGGATAGTTCAGTCGGTGAGCGAGTGGATGAGTGAATGGGCAGCATCAATGTTGTTGTTCAGGGTCTCGATGTCCCAGTGTGGAGGTTCTGCTGCTGCTGGCCACGGCGAGAGAGCTTCAGCAGAGAGACAATTCGTGTCGGTTCTACTGTTCCTCCTCCTGCCTGTACTCCAGTAGCGCTGTGGAGGTAATAGCGAGGGGTTGGTGGATCACGCACGAATGGTGTTGTTGAGGCGACACTCCCTCCCAACCCGTGGGTGGACGTCGACGAGGAGCCGTACCCCCTGTAGTTACTACGTCACTGATGATGTAATTACTACGTCACTGATGATGTAGTTACTACGTCACTGATGATGTAGTTACTACAACACTGATAATGTAGTTACTACAACACTGATAATGTAGTCACTACCCCACTGATAATGTAGTTACTACACCACTGACAATGTAGTTACTACGTCACTGATAATGTAGTTACTACGTCACTGATTATGTAGTTACTACGTCACTGATGATGTAGTTACTACGTCACTGATAATGTAGTTACTACACCACTGATAATGTAGTTACTACGTCACTGATGATGTAGTTACTACGTCACTGATAATGTAGCTACTACAACACTGATAATGTAGCTACTACGCCACTGATAATTTAGTTTTGTACACCACTGATAATGCAGTTTACTACGCCACTGATAATTTAGTTTTCTACACCACTGATAATGTAGCTACGACGCCACTGCCACCACGACACCATCACCATACTGCACATCACAACAATACACTCATCAACTCATTCACCCACCCACTCACCACACTGCAAGTCACCTCCACTTATATATATCTCTCTCTGCTTCTTCCCTCGCCACTGTTCCACTCTGGAGGAATCCCCTCCTCCTACCATCATCACCATCATCATCACCATCATCATCACCACCATCATCACCATCATCATCATCACCACCACCACCATCACCATAATCACCGCCGCCATCACCACCACCATCATCATCACCATCATCATCACCATCATCACCACCACCATCATCACCGTCATCACCACCACCATCACCACCATAATCTCCGCCGCCATCACCACCATCATCATCATCACCACCATCATCACCATCACCACGACCTTAATCACCGCCGCCATCACCACCATCACCACCACCATCTAATTTCCCCCACAAGCCCTTCCAACGACAATAACCTCGCTCAAGTCACCAACCCCGCGTTACAACTCTCATCTACATAAAGCATTGATGATCGTGCTGCGTGTTTCTGGCCGTTCGGCGTTATGCGTGGGACCTTTTTGGGACCCCTGTGCTCAAACAATAATGTAGTTACTACGTCACTGATGATGCAGTTACTACGTCACTGATGATGTAGTTACGTCACTGATAATGTGTTCACAGCGGGCATATCGGTGGTTAATAAACCCCAACCTTCTACGCAAACACTCACACACCCACGCGCGCATTGTGCAACCTTTTGCGTGTTTAAACGATAGCCTGAAATAAAAAGGGTTTTTCTTTTTTACAGTTTATGAATATAGAAGAAGAGGAAAACCCAAAACATTTGGAACCGTTCCCATCGCAAAAGCGCATTCCAGGGGGAGAGCGAGGCAACTCACAACCAACAATAACAACAACAACAATAGCTATAGTACAATAGACAAAGTCATCTCTCTTAATGTATTAATAATAGACACTTACTTTTCACACAGATGGTTGCCAGAGTCATAGATATGCAATGGGTTACTGAGCATCCTCCCGCTAAGTTCTGTACCACATTACGATCCACCATCCCATATGTCATTGTAGTACCTACTACTGCTTACTGCTACTAGTAAGTTCTGTAGCACGATACGATCCACCATCCCATCTCTCTGCTTTGTATGTACGTATGTTGAACTTCTTTCGCACCGTACGTAGCCAACCGTGATAATCGGAGGTGCAGGGGGTGGGGGGAAGGACAACAAACTAAACACACTCAAAGCAAGTTGACAACTCGAGCACTTTCCATTGACGTTCCGGTTTTTAGGAAGGAACGCGTCCTGGGCCTTGAACCGGGGTATGCCTGCAGTCAAAGTCGCAGCGCTGCACAACTCAAAGAAGAACACAACCCCACCCCCAGCCCCCAGCCCCCCCCCAGCCCCCCCCCCCCCCCCCCCCCCCAGCTCCCCCCCCGCCCCCCAGCCCCCATGAGTGAAAGTAGCGAAGTGGGAATGCAGCAGCAGAGGCAAGTATAAAATCCATGCAAGCGCGGCACGCGTTGAGAACAACCTCCCGTTGGTAGGTGGCCCTGTGATGGGGGGACGAGAAACGTCGCGGGCACCATTAGGGGTCGTCATCACCATCGGCGTCCATCAGCGCCGTCATCATTAAGAGAGCAGCTTCAGAGTCGGTCGTGGTCGTGGCGATGATCATTACACAGTGGGAGTGAATCGTCAAACAATCGTCAATAGAATCGTCACGCTAACACGTCGTCACGTCGCAAATCGAGCGACTGCATAGCCAGAATGTTGTGGCCGGTGTGGTTTATCATGCCTGGGCCGATGTTTTGTTTAGGGGCCGTCTATAAATGACGTCACGCGATTTTGGACGATTTTTGACCCCCCTCGTCACATGACAAATATGACGTCACAAAGCTCTGCCCCCTCCCCCCCCCCAAAAAAATATAATACATGCTTCAAATCGCTTTAAACTATTGACATTGTAGTGCGTATTTAATGTGGCGCTGCACTCTGATGTTGTAGGAGAAAACATTTATTAAAAAAGTATATTTAAATAAGTAAAATTGTACTGTTTTATATTTTTATTATTTTATTGTTTCCCTTCTACGTGGCTTTACCGAAAGAACCAAGAATATGAGTAGAACGTGTTGTCTATATTTATTTAAAGGTTCGCATTTTGATGTGACGTCACATTTCTAACCCCCCCCCCCTCGTCACACATCGTCACAAATGTCTGGACCCCCCCCCCAGGTGCGTGACGTCATTTATGGACGGTTCCTCAGTTCCAGTCCGCCACTGACTACGCACGTGCGTGTATGCACGTTGCATGTTGGACGCCTTTTGCACCGGTACGTAGCGAACGGCAACCTTCCTACCGTGCGGTAGTGGTGGCGGCGGTGGCGTCGGGGGGTGGAGGTGGTGGTGGTGGCCATGATCGTTGTGGGAGTCACTCAGCAGAACTGCCGAGTCTTCCAGGTTTGCTGCGTCACGTCAATGGGCGGGAACCAGCGCATCTGTGACGTCATGGGAGGGGGCGGGGTGGGGCGGGGCGGGGAAAATGGCGTCCAGTCACCCCCACGGCCACGTGGCACAAAGGTCGCTTGGCAGAGGCCTGGTCGTTTGTTTGTTTAGAATAAAACAAAAATGTTGACAAGCTAAACTATTTTTTCAAAAAAAAGTTTTTTATTTTACCAGATAAAGGCCCACTGAGCTATATAGCTCTTATTTCAGAAGTGACCTGGCTGTCACAAATCATAGCTCAAGCAAGTGGCTTATCATCATCATCATGTTGAAATGTATAGCAGCCAATACTCTGAACGCGTGATGTCCATTCTAAATGTGGAGGGGGAAAAACCGGAGGGCCCGGAGAAAAATCCACGCGACCACGGGGAGAGAGAGCGAGAGACGTAAATGCCAAATATACAGCAGCAGGCGTCAGGGTCAGGATCGAACCCACTAAATTCTGCATAGCCGGCAAGGTAGTTAACATCTCGCCACACTCACACTCTAGCTCCTCACACTTCGTCTCTTCCTATCATCATCATCTCACAGTTCGCTGAACACGACTGTGAAACTTTTACGTGGCTTTAAAAATGCACGCGGTTGAGCTCTCTCCGTCTCCCCTCCCCCCCACCCTCTCTCTGTCTCCCTCTCATTCGGGAATGGCTTTTAGTGCGGGCAACGCAGCCTCCAGTATCGCCCCGCTGAGGCCGCACACGCAAAAGACAAAGATCCCCTATGTAGCCTTTATAGACTGTTGGGGAAAGTGCTTGCTGCTAACGAGGGGGTGTTGTGGCCGGCACCACGCCCCGGCCTGCACGCTTGACGTGAACCCACGGGCGAGGTGCGGGCAGCGAAGGAGCGCAGGAGCGAGAGAGTGGGTGGGTGAGTGGGTGAGCGTGTGGGTGAGTGAGCTGGTGAACGAGTGGGTGAGAGAGTTTCTGTGACAGTGGGCGGGTGAGCAAGTGGGTGAGTTAGTGAGTGAGTGGGTGAGCGAGTGAGCGGGTGAGTTAGTGGGTGAATGAGTGGGTGAACGAGTGGGAGCGAGTGGGTGAGTCTCTGTGAGAGTGGGTGGGTGAATGAGTGAGTAAGCGAGCGAGTGAGCGGGTGAGCAAGTGGGTGAGCGGGTGCGTCAATGATTGGATGAGCATGCTGGCGAGTGGGTGAGTGGGTGAGAGTGTCTCTGTAACAGCGGGTGGGTGAGCGAGCGGATGAATGAGTCTCTGTGGCAGTGAGTGGGTGAGCGAGTGATTGAGCGAGCAGTGGACTGAGTGGGTGAGTGAGTCTCTGTGAGAGGAGGTGGGTGAGTGAGTGAACGAGTGGGTGAGCGCCCGGGCGAGCGAGCGGGTGAGCGCGCGGGTGAGCGAGCGGGTGAGTGTGAGGGTGAGTGAGCGAGCGGGTGAGCGAGCGGGTGAGTGTGTGGGTGAGTGAGTGAGCGGGTGAGCGAGCGAGCGGGTGAGTGTGTGGGTGAGTGAGCGAGCGGGTGAGCGCGCGGGTGAGCGAGCGGGTGAGTGTGTGGGTGAGTGTGTGGGTGAGTGAGCGAGCGGGTGAGCGCCCGGGCGAGCGAGCGAGCGGGTGAGCGCGCGAGTCTCTGTGACGGTGCCCGGATGAACGAGCGAGTTGGTGATGGAGGGCGGCACGGCACCTGTGCGTGCAGCGTGGAGGTGGCCGTGGCGGTGGCCGTGGGGTAGCAGGAGGAGGAGGAGGAGGCGGGGAAGGCGGCGTGGGCCACCGCGGGCCCCACGTCTGCGTACAGTGCCGGGTGGTATGCGGCCCACGCGTCCGGGCCCGCGGGCAGCAGGGCCGCTCCCGCCAGCTCGTCTGAGCGCACAGTGGCATCATCATCAGCATCATCATCATCAGCATCGTCAGCAACATGGCCATCATCATCAGCACCATCATCAGCGTCAGCATCATCATCAGCAGCATCATGATCAGCAGCAGCAGTGGCGTCAGCATTATTTTCACAACGAGCGGAGTGCCGGGTGGATAAAACGAAGCGAGTTGGCACAGGGAGGAGTATAGCTGGGTGCTGTGGTGCATCCGCCATTCATCTCAGTCAGTGCACCCACAACACCTGGGTCTGCCCCGTCACCTCTTGTCGGAGAACCTTCCACACTTCACGTGACGGCCTCAAGTGCACCTAGCCTGGCACAACTCACAAGCGCCGTGGTGACGTCACCGTCGCTTAGTGGCGAATGGGCGCTTGTTGTGCGTGTGTGTGGCCGTGTGTGAATGCTCGCCCATGTGTGTGCTCGCTCACAGCACTTGCCCCGCAAGTCTGTGCCGAGGGAGCGGTGGGTGCGGTGGGTAGCGCGCTGCCGCTACGAACCCGGCAGAGACCCGCCGAGTTCCATTCCCACTCGCGGCGGCCGCCACCAACGCCGGTGACGATTCTCTGCACCTGTCCTGGGCCACCGCCTAGGTCGACTCAGCCTCAAAATGAGTTCCATGGTGCGGTGCGTAAATATCGCTAGCACTGGGGAGACAAAGGCGGCCGAGGCGCGGTGCTGGTGTCTTGACCGACCCACGCGGGCGCTCTCGGCCTCCGTAGGCGCTGCCACCTGCCCCCGACAGCCTGCGAAGGGGCTAGACAGGGCCCGTTGTGCTCGTGATGTCACTCACGGGTCTCGTGATGTCACTCACGGGTCTCGTGATGTCACTCACGGGTCTCGTGATGTCACTGACAGGTCTCGTGATGTCACTCGCGGGTCTCGCGATGTCACTCGCGGGTCTAGTGATGTCACCCGCGGGTCTCGTGATGTCACCCACGGATCTCGTGATGTCACCCGTGGATCTCGTGATGTCACTCGCGGGTCTAGTGATGTCACTCGAGGGTCTCGTGATGTCACTCGCGGATCTCGTGATGTCACTCGCGGATCTCGTGATGTCACTCGCGGGTCTAGTGATGTCACTCGCGGGTCTCGCGATGCCACTCACGGGTCTTGTGATGTCATTCACGGGTCTCGCGATGTCATTCACGGGTCTCGCGATGTCACTTACAGGTCTCGTGATGTCATTCACTGGTCTCGTGATGTCACTCACGGGTCTCGTGATGTCACTCACGGGTCTCGTGATGTCACTCACGGGTCTGGTGATGTCACTCACGGGTCTCGTGATGTCACTCACGGGTCTGGTGATGTCACTCACGGGTCTCGTGATGTCACTCACGGGTCTCGTGATGTCACTCACGGGTCTCGTGATGTCACTCACGGGTCTCGTGATGTCACTCACGGGTCTCGTGATGTCACTCACGGGTCTCGTGATATCACTCACGGGTCTCGTGATGTCACTCACGGGTCTAGTGATGTCACTCGTGGGTCTCGTGATGTCACTCGCGGGTCTCGTGATGTCACTCGCGGGTCTCGTGATGTCACTCGCGGGTCTCGTGATGTCACTCACAGGTCTCGCGCGTGACGAAGTGAGGCGCCAGGGCGAGGTGCGGCCCCGCCACCGCCCCCACGTTGCCCAGTCTGCCCCTGCACATCTTCGTGTTGGCCTTGGCGAACTCCAACCTCAGGGTCTGGGGGCTCTCGGGGTCAAAGCGGATTCCCTGCGGGGGGCGAGAAAGGGGAAGAGAGGAGCTACGGTGGCTAGGAGATGTTAACTCCCTCGCCTGGTATGCGGGAGGCCGTGGGTTCGATTCAGACCCTGACGCCTGCTGCTGCTGCTGTATATTGGGAGTGTGCGAGTGTCTCTCTCTCTCTCCCCGTGGACTTTTCTCAGGATCCTCCGGTTTTTCGCTTCAAGTTAGACTCGACATCACACGTGTCGAGGAGTGTTTGCCTGCTGCTATGAATGTCCACGTGACCATGATAGCTCCACTTTGTTGAGCCGTCATTTGTGACAGCCACGGTCGCTTCTGAAAATGAAGCTAATGGCTCAGTGGGCCTTACAATCTGGTAAGATTAAAAAATATGTTTTTTGTATTGAAAAATATAGTATATTTTAAAGTGATTTTTGTTTTACCTTTCCTATACTTTGCCCTCCTATCGTGTTTTTCTATCGTTTGTTGTCGTTGTAACGTCCTGACCCCCGTGCCCCCTCGACTGGAAATCTGTGGAAAAAAAGAGCTTCATAGCTCATCGGATTCCTCCTCCAGTAATAAATACATATTCTGATTGTGACTTTTGTCACCGCGAAGGACTTGAGCCAAATACTCCACGAGCTAATTAATTTTCTCCCCCCCCCCCATCACACCAATGCATTCGGTTATTTATTTATTTAATGTCATCTCTCCTGCCAGGAGGACCTCATCAGGGCGACAGGATCGAGGGGCGCCACGCTCAGCGGAGAAGATCGGCCCAGTGGATGATATTTGCTTATTGATGAATGTATGGGGGCCCTGATTTTAAAAATATTAAATTGTCAGAATACCAGGTGAAATCCTGAACCAGGTGAGATCCTGAACCAGGTGAGATCCTGAACCAGGTGAGAGTCTGAATCAGATGAGAGACTGAACCCAGTGAGATCCTTAACCAGGTGTGATCCTGAACCAAGTGAGATCCTGAACCAGGTGAGATCCTGAACCAGGTGAGATCCTGAACCAGGTGAGATCCTGAACCAGGTGTGATCCTGAACCAGGTGAGATCTTGAACCAGGTGTGATCCTGAACCAGGTGTGATCCTGAACTAGGTGTGATTCTGAACCAAGTGAGATCCTGAACCAGGTGAGATCCTGAAACAGGTGAGATCCTGAACCAAGTGAGATCCTGAACCAAGTGAGATCCTGAACCAAGTGAGATCCTGAACCAGGTGTGATCCTGAACCAGGTGAGATCCTGAACCAGGTGATATCCTGAACCAAGTGAGATCCTGAACCAAGTGAGATCCTGAACCAAGTGAGATCCTGAACCAGGTGTGATCCTGAACTAGGTGTGATTCTGAACCAAGTGAGATCCTGAACCAGGTGAGATCCTGAAACAGGTGAGATCCTGAACCAGGTGAGATCCTGAACCAGGTGAGATCCTGAACCAAGTGAGATCCTGAACCAAGTGAGATCCTGAACCAAGTGAGATCCTGAACCAGGTGATATCCTGAACCAAGTGAGATCCTGAACCAGGTGAGAGGCGCTGTGGAGGAGGGACTCACGCTGAGGGAGTTCTTGGCCGTCTCTGCCTCGAATCGACTGTCGAACATCACGAACCCCACCGGCTGGACGGGAGACAAAGACAAAGGTCCCCCGTGTAGCCTTTAAACAGAACATTGGGGCAAGTTGCCAAGACCACGCCCGACCGCCTTTGTCTCCCCAGGTGTGCGGCGCGTTAAGCAAGGCGTGTGTTTGACGTTGAGTATCGGCGCGTTTTGTCGTCGCAAGCGAAGTGGAGCCGTCGCTCACTGCGCACATTCACGAATTTCTCCTGCACGGTATCCGTGCAGCAGCCTGCACGTGAGAGTCGCTTTGAGGAACAGGCGTGGGTGAGGTGCGGTGAGTGGTGAGTGGTGGGCAGTGAGTGGTGAGTGGTGGGTGGTGAGTGGTGAGTGGTGGGCAGTGAGTGGTGAGTGGTGGGTGGTGAGTGGTGAGTGGTGGGTGGTGAGTGGTGGGTGGTGGGCGGTGAGTGGTGAGTGGTGGGCGGTGAGTGGTGAGTGGTGGGTGGTGAGTGGTGAGTGGTGGGCGGTGAGTGGTGAGTGGTGGGCGGTGAGTGGTGAGTGGTGAGTGATGAGTGGTGAGTGGTGGGTGGTGAGTGGTGGGCGGTGGGCGGTGAGTGGTGAGTGGTGGGCGGTGAGTGGTGAGTGGTGGGCGGTGAGTGGTGAGTGGTGAGTGGTGGGCGGTGGGCGGTGGGCGGTGAGTGGTGAGTGTTGGGCGGTGGGCGGTGGGCGGTGAGTGGTGGGCGGTGAGTGGTGGGTGGTGGGCGGTGGGCGGTGAGTGGTGAGTGGTGGGCGGTGAGTGGTGAGTGGTGGGCGGTGAATGGTGAGTGGTGAGTGGTGGGCGGTGAGTGGTGAGTGGTGGCCGGTGAGTGGTGAGTGGTGAGCGGTGAGTGGTGAGCGGTGGGCGGTGGGTGGTGAGTGGTGGGCGGTGAGTGGTGAGTGGTGGGCGGTGAGTGGTGGGCGGTGAGTGGTGAGTGGTGGGCGGTGAGTGGTGGGTGGTGAGTGGTGAGCGGTGGGCGGTGAGTGGTGAGTGGTGAGTGTACCTGTTTGGAGGTGAGTTTAATCAGCGAACCCTCATAGCCCTGCACACAGCACAGAGTAAGGCAGCGCATCACTCCGCATCACTCCGCATCACTCCGCTGCTGTAACGCGACTGTCCCCCAAATGTCCAGTAGCATCCTTCACGAACCGCCTCCCCAGAGGCCGATCTTGACCCACTCACCCACTCACCCACGACTCACTCACCCACTTGACCCACTCACCCACTCACTCACGACTCACTCACCCACTTGACCCACTCACCCACTCACCCACGACTCACTCACCCACGACTCACTCACCCACTCACCCACGACTCACTCACCCACTTGACCCACTCACCCACGACTCACTCACCCACTCACCCACGACTCACTCACCCATTCACCCACGACTTACTCACCCAATGACCCACTACTCACCCACTCACTCACGACTCACTCACCTACTTACCCACGACTCACTCACCCACTCACCCACGACTCACTCACCGACTCACCCACGACTCACTCACCCACTCACCCATGACTTACTCACCCAATGACCCACGACTCACCCACTCACCCATGACTTATTCACCCAATGACCCACGACTCACTCACCCACTCACTCACGACTCACTCACCTACTTACCCACGACTCACCCACGACTCACTCAGCCACTCACCCACGACTCACTCGCCCACTCACCCACCCACACGAAGTCATCACGACTGATGGTTTGCACCTAAGCTAAGTTGAGCAACAGTTTAGGGTTTCACATTGCGAGGAGAGGGGGGGGGCTATAAAAAAGAAAACATAATGTATACGAAGTTTAAAGTTTTACGTCATTGGTTTAAAAATAAAGAAGATAGCGGTGGGAAAAATAACTTTCTAAAACTGTTCATTTAATTCCGATATGACAAAATAAATAATCTACAGGCATTCCTCAATCAGGCCTCCTGAAGCTTGATGGAGTTTGGGGCCTCATCAATGTCACGATCCGATCCTAGTTGGGTCACTTGGCTGGGTTATCTGGCTGGGTCACCTGGCTGGGTCACCTGGCTGGGTCACCTGGCTGGGTCACCTGGCTAAGTCACTTGGCTAAATCACCTAGCTGGGTCACCTGGCTGGGTCACCTGGCTGGGTCACCTGGCTAAATCACCTGGCTGGGTCACCTAGCTGGGTTACCTGGCTGGGTCACCTGGCTGGGTCACCTGGCTAAATCACCTAACTGGGTCATCTGGCTGGGTCACCTGGCTGGGTCACCTTTCTAAATCACCTGGCTGGGTCACGTGGCTGGGTTATCTGGCTGGGTTACCTGGCTGGGTCACCTGGCTGGGTCACCTGGCTAAATCACCTAGCTGGGTCACCTGGCTGGGTCACCTGGCTAAGTCACTTGGCTAAATCACCTAGCTGGGTCACCTGGCTGGGTCACCTGGCTGGGTCACCTGGCTAAATCACCTGGCTGGGTCACCTAGCTGGGTTACCTGGCTGGGTCACCTGGCTGGGTCACCTGGCTAAATCACCTAACTGGGTCATCTGGCTGGGTCACCTGGCTGGGTCACCTTTCTAAATCACCTGGCTGGGTCACCTGGCTGGGTTATCTGGCTGGGTTACCTGGCTGGGTCACCTGGCTGGGTCACCTGGCTAAATCACCTAGCTGGGTCACCTGGCTGGGTCACCTGGCTAAATCACCTAGCTGGGTCATCTGGCTGGGTCACCTGGCTGGGTCACCTTTCTAAATCACCTGGCTGGGTCACCTGGCTGGGTTATCTGGCTGGGTTACCTGGCTGGGTCACCTGGCTGGGTCACCTGGCTAAATCACCTAGCTGGGTCACCTGGCTGGGTCACCTGGCTGAATCACCTGGCTGGGTCACCTGGCTGGGTCACCTGGCTGGGTCACCTGGCTAAATCACCTGGCTGGGTCACCTGGCTGGGTTACCTGGCTGGGTTACCTGGCTGGGTCACCTGGCTGGGTCACTTGGCTAAATCACTTAGCTGGGTCACCTGGCTGGGTCACCTGACGTCGCTTGAGAGAAGGCTCCTGAAGAGTGAGGCTCACCTTGAAAGGTCGGAAGAGCAGGTAGAGCTCCCTGGGTTTGATGTCCATGGGCAGGCCGCTCACGAACAAAGTGCGCACCTGAGCGGGAGGGGGATTCGGGTGGGAGGTGGAGGGAGGAGGAGAGAGGAGGAGGAGACAGTGATAGGAGGAGGAAGAGAGAGGAGAGAGAGGAGGAACAAGAGAGAAGGAGGAGAGAGGAGGAGGAGGTAGGTGGAGAGAGGAGGATGCAATCACGTGGCGGATTCGTGAACTCTTATAACTTTGTTTCATGATAGTCAACAGTAGTCACGGTCACATCTCACTGTGGCAGCACCCCGAGAGATTAGTGTGGGCAGCCAAGGCGAGGAGACCAGATCGGCGCACAAGTAACCATGCTGTGTCGTGCAGCCCTCCTCCAGCCGACACGACACAATAAATAACGTTGGGTGCCACGGTGGCCAGGAGATGTTAACCACCTCGCCTGGTGACTAGGAGATGTTAACTCCCTCGCCTGGTGCGCAAGAGGTCTCGTGGCGTCGATCCCGACCCTGACGCCTGCTGCTGTATTTTTGGAGTTTGCGTGTCTCTCTCTCTCATCATCATCACGGTGGCTAGGAGATGTTAACTACCTCGTCTGGTATTCAGGAGGTCGTGGGTTTGATCCAGACCCTGACGCCTGCTGCTGTATATTTGGAGTTTGCGTGTCTCTCTCTCCATGGTTTTTCTCCACCACATTTAGAAACATGCATTGAGAGTATTTGGCTGCTGTATATGTCCACGTGATAAGCCAGTTAGTTGACTTATCATTTGTGAAAGAGCTGCATAGCTAGCTCAGTGGGGCCTTACCTTGGTAAAATAAAAAAAAAATAGTTTTAGTTTAAAGGTGCAGCCACGCAGACCGAGCGCGTGAAAGGGCGGGGGCAGAGGGCCGGGCGAGGCTGGCGACGTCACCCACGACTCTCCGATGGGCACGGTTGCTACGTCCGGTGCGCGTCTTCTACAAAGACAGCTGTTCACGAGACAGCTGTTCACGAGACAGCTGTTCACGAGACAGCTGTTCACGAGACAGCTGTTCACGAGCACCTATGAAGGCCGGCACGGCACACGAGGGGGTGGGTGACCAACACCACGCCCGACCGCCTTTGTCTCCCCAGTGGCGAAGTTTTACACGCCGCACCAGGTACTCATTTGAGGCCGAGTCGACCTAGGGGAGGCCAAGTAGAGGCCAAGGACCGGTTCATATAATCGTCACTGGTGTTGGTGGCCGTGAGCGGGAATCGAACTCGGGTCGTCGGGTTTGTAGAGAAACGCGCTAACCGCTACACTACCGCTCCCCCCAAACACACACACACGCTCACACACATACGTGCACACAGTGACACTCACACACATACACCACACGTACACACACTCTCTGCGAGCACGCAGACACGGGCGCCAGGTGATTAACGCCACAAAGAAGTGGACGCGTGTGGATGATTGGCACCCCAAACCGCAGGAGCCGAGTCGCGCGGTCGTCAATAATGAATGGGGCCTGCCACCGGTGAGCTGGCCAGCCCTCGCCCCCACCTCTACCCACCCCTCCCCTACCCACCCACCCCCACCCCTACCCACTCACCCCTCCTCTACCCACCCACCCCCACCCCTACCCACGCGTATCCACCCCACCAACGCTCCACCCCTACCGACCCCGACCAACCCAGCTCCACCCCTACCCCACTTTGAGGCTACGTGAAGTGTCGAAGGCTCGCTGATGACAGGAGGAAGTCTCGGGACAGACCCAGCAGGTGCCATGGGTTGGTTGACTGAGATCACCTGTAGATGCACCACTAGCTGTAACCCCTACTGTGCCAACTTGCTGCATTTTAGCCACAAGCACTCTGCTCTTTGTTGTGAGCGTCGCTCCTCTGCCCTCCGTTATTGTTGGAGGACGACTGCCTCCAACTGCCCAGTAGCAGCGTCCTTCACGAGCCTCCTCCACAGAGACCGATCTTGACACCGCTGGAAGCAGTCACCGGCAAGTCCACTCAGCTCCACGTCCTCCTGTACTACATCACTCCACCTCTTCTCTAGCCTCGTGTCGTGCCCGTTTAGCCCCCGTTATGCGGCCAAGTAGAAGTTGCTTGAATATGCGGTGATTGGGCATGCGGGCTACATGGCCCAGCCAACGCAGCCTTGCCTGCCGGAGGAGCTCACCGATGGGACTTTCTCCGGATCTTTCAAGAATTTGTGAGCTCCTCACACAATCCAGCCTGGTTAAAACCAAGATGGATCGTAGGGAGGCTAGCCTAAATGTTTCTAACTGGCGCAGATGTCCCATTAGAGGGGTCCACGTTTCAAAAGCGTAGAGAAGGGAGGGAATGCCCGTGGTCGAGTAGACCTGAAGCTTTGTGTGGAGTGAGCAAGTTGCTTCTACACAGCGTTACGCAACCGATGAGTGAGACCTCTGCTGTCAAACCGGAGCCGGTCATGAGCACACTGCCCAGGTATGGAAACCTCTCCATGCTCTCCACAACTGCTCCATCACCAGTGGGGAGCTGAGGGGGTGGAGTGTCTGATGGTACAAAATACCCAGGCAGGTGCTTCGTTTTGGTGGGGGTGATGGTAAGGCCCCACCTCTTAGTGGCAAGCTCCAGTTTCAGCAGCAGCGCCTCCAACTCCTCCTTTGAGCAACAATTACCAGATCCACCCCTAGCCACATCTACCCCTATCCCTATCCACCCACCCACCACCACCCCACCCCTACCCACCACCCAGCCCCCTACCCACCCCTACCCACCCCCACCCCCTACCCACACCCACCCCTACCCACACCCACCCCTACCCAGAACCCACACCTACTGTATCCACTCCTTACACACCCACACCCACCCCCAACCCACACCCACCCCCACCCACGGCCCCGCCCCCCTCCACCACTCCCCCGCCCCACGGAGCCCCCAGAGCTCCCGCGAGAGGGGGGGGTTGGGGATCGTCACCCTTGGGTTTTATTTGTAGAAGTGAAGATTCAACCTCGGCTCCAGATTTACTTTGATGGGGGGCAGGAGAGGGGTTGGGGGGTCGGGTGTTGGGGGGGAGGGGCTGGGGACGTGGGGGGGGGGCAGTAGAGCTATTGGAGGGGGCACGGTGATAATGATGTTGTTGGTTTTGTTTTAACCCGACTGAGAGCTCTCAAGAGACCAGGCTTAAAGTCTGAGTGAGTAGGTTGGTGAGTGAGTGGGTGGATGAGTGAGTGGATGGGTGAGTGAGCAAGTTAACGAGTGAGTGGGTGAGTGAGTGGGTGGGTGAGTGGATGGATGGATGAGTGAGTGAGTGGGTGAGTGAATGGATGGATGGATGAGTGAGTGGGTGGGTGAGTGAGTGGGTGGATGAGTAAGTGGGTGGATGAGTGAGTGAGTGGGTGAGTGAGTGGATGGGTGAGTGAGCAAGTTAACGAGTGAGTGGGTGAGTGAGTGGGTGGGTGAGTGAATGGATGGATGAGTGAGTGAGTGGGTGAGTGAATGGATGGATGAGTGAGTGCATGGGTGAGTGAGTGAGTCGTTGAGTGGGTAAATAATACAATTGAGATTCATGAGTGAGGTCGGGTTTGTATTATTCTGCGCTCACCGGTTGTGAACTCTGGAGAGGCGAGGATTACCGAGCTCAATTCAGAATCCGAATCTTTATTTAGACTGCAGAAATCCGATGAGCTATGAAGCTCTTGTTCATAGATGTCCAGTAGCGTGAGTTGACCTGGGTAACTGACGGCGATCCTGACCAAGGGGTCCATCCCGTGTACTCATACACGTGCAGAGACAAAGATCCCCCGTATAGCCTCAAACAGACTGTGGGGGCAAGTGCTGCTCGCGAGTAGCAGCAGCGCCGATAAACGCCGCCACTGTGGCACACGAGGGGGCGGGTGAGCCGGCACCACGCCCGGCCGCCTTTGTCTCCCCATTGCTGATGTTTACTACACACCGCACCGGCTACTCATTTAAGGTGGAGTCGACCTAAGGGGAAGGCTCAGGACCGGTTCAGACAATCGTCACCGGCGTCGGTGGCCGTGGACGCGAGGGGGAATCGACCTCGGGGTTCTCTTGCTGGGTTCGTCGAGGAAGCGCGCTAACCGCTGCCCCACCGCTCCCCACTCACAGCGCGCTAACCGCTGCCCCACCGCTCCCCACTCACAGCGCGATAACCGCTGCCCCACCGCTCCCCACTCACAGCGCTCTAACCGCTGCCCCACCGCTCCCCACTTACAGCGCGCTAACCGCTGCCCCACCGCTCCACACTCACAGCGCGCTAACCGCTGCCCCACCGCTCCACGAGGGCCACCTCTGCCGTGCTCGCCGTGCCGTGAAATCCGCGCCGACCACGTGGTGAACCCCCTAAGAGCTTCCCCGTGGGTCCCCGGCTTCATCAAACATTCATCACTCATTCATTAATCCACACTCAACTATTAATGCGTCACTTTTATACACGCACGTCACCAGATGCTTTTGTCTCCGAATTTCCCAGGTTTTTTTTTTATATATGTGTATGTCTATGTGTGTGTCTATGTGTATGTCTATGTGTATGTCTGTGTGTGTCTATGTGTGTGTCTATGTGTGTGTCTATGTGTATGTCTTTGTGTATGTCTATGTGTGTGTCTATGTGTATGTCTATGTGTGTGTCTATGTGTATGTCCTTGTCTTTGAGTGTATGTCTATGTAGAGGTGTGTGTGTGTCTATGTGTGTCTATGTATATATGTGTGTGTCTATGTGTGTGTCTATAACCAGCTTCGGTTTGACAGCAGAGGTCTCACTCCGAATCAGTCGGGCGGCATTATCTTCTCATCGGCTGTGCAATGCTGTATGGAAACTCCCTGGTCTGTCGCTCCGCACGAAGTTTCGGGTCTTCTCGGCCACAGTCATTCCCTCCCTTCTCTATGCTTGTGAAACGTGAACCCCTCTGGTGGAACATCTGCGCCGGTTAGAAACATTTAGGCTGGCCTGCCTACGATCCTCACTCGGTGTAACCAGGCTGGATTGTGTGAGCTCACAAATCCTTGAAAGATCTGGACACGTTTCCATCCGTGAGCTCCTCCGGCAGGCAAAGCTGCGTTGGCTGGGTCACGTAG